GTTTAAGTTAATATGCTGGAATATGATACCAGTTATGCTAATGATGAATAGTACAAGATTAGAATCATGTGATGATTTATTTGCACACTATTTGGTGAAATAGACTTGAATATTGGACTTCTTTTGATATCAATTTAGATTATAGTATGTTAGGATTTTTGTCTTTGAAGAGTATCATGAGCATAATGTGCTTATTCTTTTGATGGAGGCATCTATGTGTTGGATTAGACTTTTTCTTATTCATCATTATGTCTGACATTGCAGTTGAGGAACTTGGTTTGGTCTACGTCAAAGCATGATGTTTACCTCATGTCACATTACTCAATTATTCACTGGTCTTCATTAAGTTCCAAGAAGACAGAAGTTCTTAATGTTTCTGGTCATGTGGCCCCATGCGAGGTGCATATTTCTTATGAGGATTGGCTTTCAGTCATTTAGGTTCATGAGTTTTATGGTTCTTCTCTGGCAATGATGATATATGGAGTTTAAAATGTGGATATACTTTCTTTTTCTGACAGAAACACCCAGGAAGTTTACTGGAGGGATTTACTCAGACTCAAGTTAGTACTCTGGCAGTGCGTGACAATTTATTGATTGCTGGGGGATTTCAAGGAGAGCTTATTTGCAAGGTAATTTTATCTCTTGAAGAATACTTTGTCCGCAGTATCTGTCATCACTCCTCAAATATGGTGTATCATGGTAAACGACATGTATAACATGACTTCTAGCATGTATCACTTTCTCTATTTGGAGTCTCTAATTTTCGTATGAGAAGTTTTGATTTTGAGGATGTCTCTCTTTCTTCATTTGCAACCTAAATATATAAAAAAAGAAAGATTACTCTTTTTTTCTGTGATAGGCGGAGACGATAATCGAGGAATTAAATGTTTACTGACTGAAGTATTTCATGTTTGATGCAGAATCTAGACCGAACCGGGGTTACTTTTTGTACCAGGACAACTTATGATGACAATGCAATCACAAATGCAATTGAAATCTATGACAGTCCAAGGTTAATCTCATTCTCTTTTTTAATGCCAACCCACCCCCTTTACATCTATCTTGGAAGGTGAAATAGAGATGCTGCACCAGCCCATTGCGTTAACAATTAACATTCATACGTATTCTTGGACTAATTGGCTTTAAATCACTATCAGTGGTGCTGTTCATTTCATGGCTACAAATAATGATTGTGGAGTACGAGACTTTGATATGGAGAGATTTCAGCTTATCAAGCACTTCTCTTATCCTTGGCCTGTAAATGTAAGTTCAGTTTCTTATCACTTGTGAATTTACCTACATTTGATGTACTAATATGAATTAACTAATGTTTTCTTGAAAAGTACCAAGGTAATAAGAAATCAAGGCATCGCATACAAATGTGTGTTTTATTTTATTATTTTTAATTTGTAGGTCTTGTGCTGCAGTATCTTTACTTCACTTAAAACTGTATATCAGCAGAGTCCCCCCTCACCCCCTCAATCTCAATGCACGCATAAAAATGGGCAGACACGTTCACCGATAGAACAGTTGGCACTACCGTGTGGATTTGTTTATTGGTGTCAGACAATAGTTTCTTTGGACTACTCTTGGACATAAATACTCTTGTTTATCCTTTACAATTCTGAAACTTTGTTAGTCAACAACTGATAAATTTACGAATTCAAATGTTGGGTGGACATTTTGTCTACATCTGTCAATCTGTAATTGAGATGGTCTTAAAAGTGCAACATTGATTTTTATTAAAGGAGAAATATGGTAGTATAGTGCATTCAAGTTGAATTTATTATCTATACATGTTAATAGGAGAATACTAACTGTTGCAGGAAGCTAGCGTGAGTGAGCTTTGAAGTTGAAATGGTAGAAAGAATATTTTGATAGGTTCTCTATTTGGTGTTTGATATGGGAAATTAATTATAAGTGCTGTGTTAACCAAAAGAACATTAGACTGATGGTCTGAAAATAGAGTCGTATTACCGTTCTAACTTTGGGAAAGGTCAATTTATTTGTTTCTGTTGATGGTTTTATTGAACTTACTGGTGTGCGAGTGTTATGGATGCTGATCTTCTGCTGTTGCTGCAATTGAATCTCATAGTTAGTGCTGTTATTATTTTGTTCCAGAGAGGAGGGTGTATAATGGGAGGTTGGTTTCCTTGGATGTACATGGATCAAAATTATAACTGGTTTATCTGCCTGTTTGTAAGAATAATTCCTCAAAACTTTGAAGGTTGGAGATCATGGAAGAATCAACTGCTCAGTGCTCTTTATTCTTGTTAATCAATTTGTTAACAGCTGTCCCATGTATGTACCTATCACAGTGACCTCAATATGTTCTCTTTATGCAGTCCCTAAACATTTTCGTATAAAGCAACCACCAGGTATTTTGATGAGGATGAGGTTTGGGAATGTGTTCTCTTTCTATAATCCCTTTTATATTGTTCATAACTAGCAACCACCAGATCTTGTGTGCGAGGGTCAATTTTGGGGCTGCAAAGCAGAGATTGAGTCCACTATAGAGTTGATAACTTGGAGATGATATTTTGTTTTCATATGAGATTATGTATGCCTTGTATAACACACCCAATGGCATATGTCCCAGCAAGTTTAAAAGGATAAGCTTTATATTTGACATTATTGATTAGCTGTGTATCTTAATTTTTTCCCTTCCATTTTAAAAGGTAATGGCGATCATACTTTCTGTGTGGTCATGGTGCAGATTGATTTTTTTCCCATTTTGAAGTATACAAGGATACAGCATTCTGTGTGTTTATAGTGTATGTCCATTTCTTAAGGTTAAATGATCATGCTTTCGATTTGTTTACAGCACACCTCTCTGAGTCCAGATGGCAAAGTCATCATTATTGTTGGAGACAGCCCTGATGGAATGCTCGTGGATTCTCAAACAGGGAAGGTAGTATTCCTGATGTACGATTTATGAAACTTATTGGACTGTGGAAAGATCTGATATAGAATTTTGTAACAAGTGGCTAATGGACAAGAACTTTTTCACTTATTGACTCTTTTTTTATTTTAGACTGTCACGCACCTACAAGGACACTTGGATTTCTCTTTTGCTTCTGCATGGCATCCAAATGGTCATATCTTTGCCACTGGAAACCAGGACAAGACTTGCCGTATATGGGATGTTAGGAACGTTTCAAAGCCAGTAGATGTACTAAAAGGAAACCTAGGTGCTATTCGATCAATCCGTTTCACATCCGATGGGCAATTCATGGCGATGGCTGAGCCAGCTGATTTTGTTCATGTCTATGATGTGAAGAATGGTTTTGAGAAAGAGCAAGAGATTGATTTTTTTGGCGAGATCTCTGGGCTTTCTTTCAGTCCTGATACAGATTCCCTCTTCATTGGAGTGTGGGATCGCACTTATGGTAGCCTTTTTCAGTACAACCGATGCAGGAACTACTCATATCTAGATAGTCTACTGTGAAAATCATTTGATTCCTTGGAATACATTGTTGGAGCAAAACTTTCTCGTAGAATGACAGTGACACTGGTGACATATCTTGTGTTACATTCTCAAGAAAGGAGCCTGAGGGTGGCACACTTGCAGCATCTGACTGTTGTGTCCTCAAATAATACCTACTGGTGTTGCTTGCATAATGAAGCTTGGAGTGCATCTTCGTACAGCCACAAATGAAATCTTCATCTTAGCTCAAGGCTAATATCATTCATGGAAATGTCACTTTGTTGATGGCAATTGAGTGTGAATGGAAATTTCTACTGCATCGTTAATTGACTGCCTGCTATTAATGTAATACACGAATAAAAAGTCTTTGGTTTGGGAAGAAAATATACATTCGATGGTTTTAACAAGTTGGAGTTATTATGTAAAAGATGCTTGAAAGTTGTTAATCTGTAAATTGCTGAATAGCCTAGTTCATTCGAGATGATAGGGGAGCGTGTTTGTTATTACTCTTTATGGCTATAATACCGTTATGTTGGAGATGAATTTTGCACTAAAATGATTCCTAGGCCAATTTATCAATTCTTAAGCACGACTGACATAATAATCATATGAATCTCTGTCGGAATTTTGACGCAGCATAATCATAAAGTGCTGCTCGATGTATCCCTATCTATAATTATCTAGGAAAGGAGATTCTATATAGGGGAAAAAACTCCCAATGGTCACCGTATAGCCTGGATCACCTGTGGGCATCGCCCTAGCCGGCTTCCTGTACTTGTAAACTGTTTGATGAAACAAGAAACAATATATTTTTCTTTACTTGTTCATAAATTTAATCTTGCAGTCTTCTTCTATTTGGTTCTCCAATTTATTATTACCCTGCAGATACCCATCAATATAGCTTAAAATGCTTTCTTCTTCTGCGTCTAGCTGCTGCATACACACTTCAAAAGCAGCCACTGCTTCTGGACTAAATACTGAATCATTTCCATCTTCCCTTCTCACAGGATTTACCTTGTTATAGCTGCCAAATTTTGGAGTAACATAAGTTCCGGGAGAATAAACTTGCCCATCTACATGAAACCATTGCTTATGCCTTGCAATGGCCGGAAACTCGATAGGGGACACATCAGGTGATTTGAGTCCTTGTCCAACAGCCTTCCTTTTCCAACCTGTCTCACGCAGAGCCCCTTCTCGAACAAAATTCTCGAAATCATCTGATTTTTTCAAACTGGAACTCGTGTGCTCTGAGGGTCCTTCATTAATGTTAGATTTGTTCTTCATAAAATCTTCAGCATTTCTATGATTGTTGCCATCATTGCAGTCTTCATCCATAGATTTTAATGTGTGTACATTCTCATCCAGTAATGACTCATTATCTTGAAAGGATTCTCCATCTCTTGTGCTGGACATATAAATTCTCTTTATCAAGGCATCATATTCCTCAACCGTGTGAAAGCTTCTAGAGCCTCCGGTGTTCTTATCTCTCCAATCTAATTTATTTTCGCTGAGCCCCTCATTCTGAGGATCTTGCATGGAAAATTCTTTATCCGGTATCATCTGACAGCTTTTCGACTTTGACAATCTCTCAAAATGATTCATTCGAACAGCATCTTGGGGCAGTAATGAGTTTTCAGCATCTGCTTTTCTTTTGGCAATTTCAGCAGTCTCTACAGCAGCTTTGGGATCTCTGTTTTTAACTTCATTTGTAGTGTGTGCAGAGTAAACAAAGGCAAGAAACTGGTCATTGGCATTGTGGGATGTTCTTTGGAATCCACGATTCAACTCTTCTTGAAAGCTCAATGATCGAGTAACTGCTTTCGAAGGTATGCATCCCATTTTACGACTGCCTGACCTTGTATTGGATAAGATGGAATTGAGCAGAACCGCGACAGGATCGGCGAGTAGCCAAGTTGATTTTGAGAGCTAAGATTAGTACTGAATTTCCCGTATAGAGGACCACGAACAAAGAGACGATATGGGTGAAACCAAAATCTGGGGGTATAAATCCACAAAAAAATTATATATTAGTTAGCTAAGAACGAACCTTGTGACTTGAATTCAGCTACTGGTATTATTTTTGGTGTCTCAGGACACTTTTAAAGTACCCTGAAACATGGAAATCTGGTGAGAAATAGGGAGACAAGATTAGTTTGTGGTGGTTTAAAAATTCAGCAGACAGCAAAACCTTTTCATTTTTAACGATTCTTCGAATTTTGCACGGTGCTCAATGCACGTGCCAATCGATACAACTTTCTTCATTTTTATATGATCAATTCAAACAACTCGATCTTTACATGAATCAACTAAAAGTTTTTCTTTTCATTTTACTCCAGGTACAAAATGAGAGGGACAAAAGTTTAGGATGATGATTACTTTCATGCCTTTTCTGGTTTGATTCCTTTACAGGATCACCCTTTCGACAGGTCTGGGCTAACTAATAACAACGGAGCACACAGATTCTTTTTCCTCATTTGATCCGGTTTATTGTTAGATCTACTAGACTACGAGAAAGATAAAACACGTATAAGTTTAGATCAAAATTACAAGTTAACAGAATTGACTAGATTCAGAAACTATCTGCTAACATACCTGTCAAGTGGCAATTGAAAATGCTTGTAATAGAAGGAAACTAGTAATGGAAGAACTGAGAGTCCATTGGCAACTAATATGGCAGAAAAGACACCAGTGGAGACAATTTCTTGGTATCTTTTCCTTTAGAGATGGTGGTAACGACCTTGAAATAGTCGGAGGTGTACTAGACGCCACGGTATAATGAACAATATTATAAACCTACGTTTTTTTTACGAAGACGTAGGGTCGAGTTCTTAGAACACTACAGTGAGAATTGGCTGGTAGTCACAATAAAGGCTGTGGGGGAATAGTTAGAGATGTCAATCTATACACTGCAAAAAGTTTTCAACTTTTGAGATTGATTATTTTGAAATTATTTCATTTGATAGTTGAATAATCTCCCAAGCTAATCATGCGGTAGCATTTCACTTTTTCATATTACCTGAATACAGTGTACTCAATTCATCATAAAAAGGAAAGTAAAGTTGATAATGTTGATTAGATGTAAATGATGATCCCAAAAGTCAGTAATGTTGGCTGGTGCAGTAGGGACGAAGCTGACAAACGAAGCAAATAGGGCCCCATATTTGTCCCCTCTGAAAATTCATGATTTTGAGTTTCGATGAAGTTGTTTTGGATTTGAAGTGAAGGCTTGTTTGATCCTTATTCTTTTAAAAATATTTTTTTCTCCCCCTTCTTTCCAAACACATTTTTCAATAAAATAGTATTACACGTAATTCAAAGAATTTTCTTTCATTTTTAATCACATATTCTTCATCATTTACTATTCCAAAATGTATTAAACACCATTTTTTTGGTGCTCAAACAAATATGCAATTGTTAATAATTTGTGACTCACAATGTTTGACTAAATACTACAGTCAAAAATTGTACCTGAGGCTGCACGAGCTCGATCATGGAAATAAGTCCAAGAATGACCATAAGCAAAGCTTCCTTGTATTTTTTTATTACTAAAAGAGCAATAAGATGTGACCTCGTTGTACCCCGATGCCCGAGTCACCAAAGTTAGGGAGATTATATTTTGTATGCGTAGTGTCACGCATTTTATACAATGTAATTTACGTATGCGTAGTGTCACGCGTTTTATACAATGTAATTTATATCATAAGTGTACGGTGTCAAGTTTTGTAATATATGAATGGAGTTGGAGTGTCGAACCCATAGAGTTTGTAATTTAATTTCTACCAAGTACTATAATTGTGTAACTATTATTTAATCAAGACGAATGCAATTTGGAATCAATGATTTTAACTAAGTTAGGGATGACTGTGACAAATTTGATGAATAAGTGAAAGTTCTACGAATTAATCAATATAGGAGAGCATATGGTATAATTTTACTACTATCAAATATGATTTTCAAAAACATAGTTATCTCTAATCAATTTTATATGTTTATAAGTAAGAACCCTAATGTAATTTTATTCATTCTCTCTCTCTCACTCTCAAGTGCCAGGTAAAATTTAATCCTAGAAATTAATTTGAATATTTCTATTCCGAATTAAAGTCAAGATTTATAAAGATTATGCTTCTTAGATGGAACACGTTTCATAAATTTGACACTTTCTCTTGAAACCCTTAAAATTTAGGTTGTGTTATTGTTGTGATCGTGCCTAAATTTCCTTTTTTCAAGTGTTGAAATTGACTAACATCTAATCATTCAATTAGTAGTCAGTTAATTGAAAACATTAAATCAATAACACATAAACGAAAAGGAAAATTTCATAAAAATAACTAACATAAAATCAAAAAAATATCCTCAAATTTTGGCTACTTGAATTATTTAGTTTATTTTATACAATTCATAAAGAATAACATGAAGATGAGAGATAAAACTATTTTTTAGATGGTTAAATCAATTTTCTTCGCCAAATTGCCTTCGTCTCATTCTTGATTTCTTGAATTTTGTCCCTTTCAATTCTTCCTGAAAAATTATCTTTATGTTTGTATTTATAATATTTTGAAGTCTTAGAAGGGTTGAAGTCGAATTTTGCCAAGAAAATAGTCCAAAAAAAAAAATCAAAAATATTATTTCCACATGCGGCGCCACATGTTCTGCTTCTTCTATTCTTCTAGCGCTGCAACGCCATAACTATGACCATTTTTTTCTTCCGAACCATGGCGCTGCATCGACATGGCTCTGGCGTTGCAACACCACTTTTCTAACTTTTTATTCTCCCTTTCTTCCCTTCTTTTGCACCTTTTTCACACTTCAATAAAGCTATATTACAACATCAAAATACACATAAATATGTTCTAAATATTTTTAAAAATAACTAAATAACAAGATAAAGTGGTATTTGTTTACCTATGTTTGATCTCATATTTTGATTATAATAAATAATTTATTTTATCTCTAACAATTGAATTCAAGTCTTCATAGTTATTGTGACCAAGTTGATCAATTGGAGACAAAATCATCGCTACCAAAAGACTCGTAATTTACGATAAAAGAAATCGAGGTGGAAGTCGAGCATTCACCTCAAATCAAAAGTTGAATTTTTATACATGAGAAACATTAATTCATAAAAGCACTTGCATAAAAATTACTTTTCAAAAGATAAAAATTTCCACTTGATTTTTAAACATTTTACAAGTATTATTTACATTGAAAAATTAAGTAAAAACGTCCTTCAAAAGCCTACACTTTTTAAAACAATCAAGAACGAAATATTCGGGAAAAATTTTTCCAAGCAAATGTCCGATTCGTCTAACGATCAAATTTTTAACCGTTCTGAATTCTGATGTACAACAGCAGTTTGGCTGTCCGATTCAGTATGCAAACATCTGATTTGTTAGAAATTTTGACGTTTTGACTGTAATAAATATCACTTCACTCTGCATTCAATACAACACGTTTAACAGCTTTTATGTGAAATATTCTTGAACAAAGCTATATTGATTTATCTTTATCAAATCACTTTGAAAAACTTTTGAAAATCATTCTACTCATCAAAGTTTTTCTCACTTAACATTTGAGCTTCATTCATTGTTATTTATTAAAATATTAGCATATTTCTCTCTTGGTACTTAATTTGATCATATCATTTATTAATAGAGAAGTTTCAAATTGTAAAATCAACCTCCTTTTAAATTTGTGGGTCATGTTGAGGTCCTGTAAAGTTCAATATTGTATGAGGATTGATGCTCCTTGTTTGTAAGTCATCGAAAACGTTGTAAAGGGTTAAATTGTATCACAAGTCAATCAATATAGTGGAAATGTCTTACATGTGCCGGAGAGCTTGGTAACGGAAGACGTAAATCATTATTTTGGATCGAACGTTTGCATAATCTCTCCCTTTTACTTAATATATTACATTTATGCTTATTATTTGATTTTATCTTTTTAGTCTTAACTTGCTTGAATTTATATTAATTTTTCGAAAAAGTTTTAATAACAAATTCACCCCCCTTTTGATTAGCCATTCTTGGGCTATCAATTGGTATAGAGCAAGATGTTCATTTTAAAATTAAAATTCTACAATCTTGAACAATGGTTAACTATAATCTTCAAAATCTTGAGGGGCATTCTACTAACCATCTTTCTTTCTTTAATGACAAGCATTATAATTATTGGAAAGTTATGATGATGATGATATGCATTCAATCAATAGATTATAATATATGTGAAGTTATTGAATATGGCCTTATGTGCCTACCAAAACTATTAAAATTGCTGGCAAACCCGATCAAGTCATTCCAAAATCTAGAGAGAAGTATGACGAAGATGATAAAAGAAAATTATCCTTAATGCTAGAACAAAAAATCTACTTTATTGTACATTAGATAGAAATGAATTTAATCGTATTAGTACATGTGATTCCGCATATGATATTTGACATGCATTGGAAGTTACTCATGCAGGCACTAGTAAAGTAAAAGAAACTAAAATAAGTTTTTTGGTCAAAGAATTTGAAAACTTCTTCATGAAACAAGACGAACTTATTGTTGGCATTATTACTCGCTTTACCGATATTGTTGATGGCCTCAAAGAGTTTGATCGAAAATTTACTAACTGTTAACTTGTAAGTATAATGATTAGGTCACTATCGGAAGCATGGAGCTCATTAAGTATGTTGATAGAAAATACCAAAGATATCAACTCATATCTTTTGGAAGAACTTTATGACATCTTGATGACATATGAGCTCAACAATGTCGAGACTAAGGAGAAAACGAGGAAAAGCAAAGAGGAATCGAATGAGCCTCCTAAGTGCCACATTGCTTTTAAATTGGCAATCGAAGAAAGGACTACAAGTGAAAATATGAGTGATAAAGAGCTCGCTAATCTAGTCATTCTCTTCAAAAAATTGAGAGGTTTTCGAAATAATTGGAGATTCCAAAAGAAAGAAGAAAAAAGTAAGAAAATCATTTGCTATAATTGTGACAAACCCAACCACAAGATAACTGAATGCCCAAACAAGAAGAGAAATGCTAAGAAAAAGGTACTTTAAGCAACATGAGATGAGAGCGATGATGATGATTGATGAAAATGATAGTCAAGAAGAAATTGCCAACATATGCTTCATGGCAATCGAATATGAGGTAAAATCTATTGAAAAATGTTTATATGATAATTTATGTACCTCCTATGATAAATTTTTTTGAGAAATTTGAAAAACTTGCTCTAAATCGCTCTATTATTAAAAAGAAGTAAATTGTTGAAAAATGAAATGAAAATAATTTTAGAAACTCAGAAGGATAATGTTGATTATAGTTTATTGATTAAAGAAAATTCTTCTTTGAAAGAAAAAGTAAAAGACTTAACTAAGATTATTTGTAAATTTACTCAAAATATGAAGAATTTTAATTTAATGCTTAGTGATCAAAAGTGTGTTTTTGATAAAGGGTGAATTGGATATAAACCATTTTTAAAATAAAAATCTTTAAAAAATTTATTTGTCAAAGTTTCGAACACCCCTTCAAAAACTACATGTAGTTTTTGCAATAAAGATAGATATATTGCATATAATTGTCTAACCAAAAGAGGCTATGCTTTGAAAGCAAGAACAAGTGGATTCGAGAATCCACTAAAACTAATTACTAAGGACTCAAACTTGTATGGGTACCAAAGATAAAAAATTGAATTATTTTTGTAGAAACCAAAAAAGATGAAGAGCAAATGGTTCTTGGGTAGTGGATGTTCTAGACACATGACCCGTGCTCCTTGTTTGTAAGTCACCAGAAACGTTGTAAATGGTTGGATTGCACTACAAATCAATCAACGTAATATAAGTCATTGCTCTTGTCGAAGAGCTTTGTAACAGAGGACGTAGTAGATCATTTCTTTGAATCGGACCTCCACAATTATATTGTTAGTATCATATCTCCCTTTTACTTATTGTATTTACATTTGTGTTTATTATTTGATTTTTTCTTTTTAGTCTTAATTTGTTTGAATTTATATTAATTATTCAAAAAAAAATTAATAACAAATTCACCCCCCTCTTGGTTAGCCATTTTTGGGCTATCGGTATTAAAACAATGAGTGAAATACACTCATCATGTAGTTTAATAAATTGTATATGAAGTCATAAACCATAAGGCTTACTCGTGCATGATCAAATGGATTAGTAGTCTTTGTGGACCTAGGAGTCTTATTGCAATTGTATGTTATAGTTGTGATATGAATGTACTTCTGTAGTTGAAGAGTAAGATTTTTCACATATCGGATCCTTATCTTGTATTTAGATCGTGCTCGAGGTCATGCATTAATCTGACAAGTAGGTTGATCATGAGTTACCACAAGCTAGAGAGGTTGAGCCTATACCTATGCAGTTCTCGCGGGTGACCTCGGGGTCAAACTCGAAGCCCTCAAGGGGAGGTCGTGGTTGACTTAAATTATTGAATGTGGATATGAAAGGCCAATGGTGAAAAATGGTCTATAGTGAGGTGCCACCCGACACTGTGTGGTAGGTCTGATGTGGCAATATCGAGGAATGAGTGATGATGCTGACATCGAGGTGGATGACCCTGTGAGGTCAAGCCACTTTTTACTAGGAGACGGGACACTATGATTAGCTTTGAAATTATTACCGTCCCTATTCATTCAAGGTCGAGCTTGAGCCAAAGACGTATTTTGCACATAATGTTACCTGTCATGGTCAAGTCGACCACAAGAAAATGATCCAATGGAAAACAACTAATGGTCCGTTTGATTGCAAATGTGAAAAATTGGTGGAAAAAAAATGAATTACAGGGAATTGAATTGCCTAGAAATTATTTTATTGGGAATTGTAATTAATTGGTTTGATTGGTATAATTTTCCACCTGAAAAATGTTGAAAGTTTTGTGTACGTTTGATTTTGTTTTTTATGGAAATTATCCATTAAAGTGATAATTTTTCTACCATTGGGTCTAGAATTTGTTCCAATTGTAAAAAAAAAAAAAATAAAAAAAAAAAACCAAAACAAAATAAATTAATTTA